CTTAGAAAACGGGGAAAAGGGGGGAGACGATCGAGATCTATAAATCACGACTGGGGTGGAGAAAGTGACTAACGGTGGGTTATTTACGCCTTCCCTTACACAAGAACTAGGGGTCACCAAAGGAAATTAACAGGTGGCACATTTACAGCAAACAAAAGGAAGTAATTCACAGGACACGGTCCACCTGTGGAACTCCTTGCCGGAGGATGGTGTGAAGGTGAAGACTATTACATAGTTCAAAAAAGCACTAGATGGATTCAGGGAGGGTAGGTCCATCAGTGGCTGTTAGCCAGGCTGGGCAGGGATGGGGCTCAAGCCTCCACAGCAGCTGGGAATGGGCCACGGGAGGGATCACGGGAGGATTCCCTGCTCTGTTCCCTCCCTCTGGGGCGCCTGGCAGTGGCTGCTGTGGGCAGACAGGACCCTGGGCAGGATGGGCCTTGGTCTGGCCCCACCGGGCTGCTCTTGTTTCCTGCCTGGAAGGGCGGTGGCTGGTTCTAGCCGGGCGCATGGTGCCACCTGGTGTTCAGTGCCGTGACTTGAACCGAGGTAGTTTTCTGTTGCAGTTTGTACCGTCCTGTGCGTAGGACCATCACATGCGGTATCTGATGCTGGGCTGCTGGCAGGCTTTGACTCCAGCCCCGCCTGCTGACCCAGCGCAGACCTGGTCCAGCCCCTCTGTGCAGGCAGAGGAGATCTAGCCGGGCGCATGGTGCCACCTGGTGTTCAGTGCCGTGACTTGAACCGAGGTAGTTTTCTGTTGCAGTTTGTACCGTCCTGTGCGTAGGACCATCACATGCGGTATCTGATGCTGGGCTGCTGGCAGGCTTTGACTCCAGCCCCGCCTGCTGACCCAGCGCAGACCTGGTCCAGCCCCTCTGTGCAGGCAGAGGAGATCCTGAAGATGGAGAGGGGTGGGGTGCAGAGAGGAGGTCTGGGGGATTCACGGAGTGGGGGGGACCAATCTCTGCCCTCTCCATCTCCTGCCCCCCAGCCTGTAGGTGCATTCTCTCAGCCCCCCCCCCCCAGGGTCTCTCCGGGCCGGCCCCTCAGCCCGCCCCCCC